GAAAGACTGGCTGGATCCGGCCGTGGCCCATACACATCTCCGCCGCCGTTTTTCTCTGTCATCTACGGCCCGTGGTGCGCCACAGTTGCCTTGGCGCCGGTTTTGTATATCGCCATTTTGCTATGCATTGTGTACTTAAAATACGGCAGCACGCGAACACTTAAAAAAAACTTGGCCGTTTCGGAAATGCTTAGGCTCGTGACCAGAAAGTCAATGATCATGTCCTTTTGTCGCCCCATAAATCGCAGTTTCTGCATTGCGACAACTACTGCACTCTTTCCGCTTCCCCCCGACACTCTTTACATACCTTCCACTGTTTCTGTTACCACCAGCCACTGTTCTGTGAGGCCACATTAACGTCAATAGGCGTACGGTCGGTGGTGGTTACATTATTGTCATTGGACTGTGTATATTGAAATGATTTCACTTACGAAATAAGAGCTATAATATTTCTGAAATTTGTGTGAAGTTTCTCTTATCAATAGACAAATACAACGTGGGTACTAGTATTAATTTGATTTGATTTCCATTATGCAGGTTACACAGCTTGTTCACCATGTATCTACAGAAGTAAATCTTGTCCGAAGTCTCCTTGCTGAATTGGCTGAACAATTTGCTCACAATAAGCACTGGAACAGACGTCAGACCTTTGCGTTGCTCTGCTCACAGCTTATGTCTAAACGTGTGTTGAAAGATGAACATTTTGCTTGCGATGTATTTCCTCACTTACTGGAGTTGAGCTGGGATCCTGTTCCAAATGTACGATTGTCAGTTGCCCAGACTCTGGCATGTGATATAGCAGTCCAATGTAAGTAATTTATATAATTCTAAATTATTATTAATATTATTGTTGTGGTGGTGGTAGATGATGGAAAATGGACCGTAGAGGCAGTAGGCCATCAGGACGATTTTTAATTAATTCGTTAATGAAAATGAATTATTTTTTTTTGTTTTTTTAATTAATTAGGTAATGCTTTTCGCCCCACTTCCGGTATTGGATTAAAAAAATAAACTCGCATGCAGGAGTACATTTCATATGCACGGATGATTAACTCCCATGAAAGATATACACGAAATATTACACCAGACACATGTAAATAGTCGAATTATGTACCAGCAACTTTGAGCAATGCTTTTAAATTCTAAACGGATTACGATATCAAAATGCAGTTTTCATTCAACAATGCGCAATCATGGGGAAGGAATATGCTGTAGAGATATTGTGTGTAATATGCTTAGTTTTCATATAATAAAATTATTTTTGAAGATATGATTATTTTAGAACTGATTTTTTGTAAAGAAAATATGTATTGTATTAGTTTTGAATGTAAAACTTTTGCAGTGTTCGAAAACACAGTTATATATAATATATGCCTACATTTCACGTAAAATTCTACGAAAAGTATTCATATTTTCGAAAAGTTGTACGTGACCATATGCTAAGATGTCTTTAAGCCTCAGAATATATTAAGAAAACATCTCTATTTTTAATATCATAGTTCTAGGAAGGCTCCAAAAAAAAATTGAACCTATGCAGGTCGTGAAATGTAATGGATTTAACATTTCACGAAAATAAAACCTATGCCCCGTTATCTTATCTTTTAAGCGTTTTCTACGCTCTCCAAGTACAAAGTTAATTTTAAAAAATGGAAACTTTTGATAAATTTTGAAAATATCAGGGAGGCAACGTGTAAAGAAATCAAAATTATCCCCCCCCCAATCAAAATATAAAGCTCAGAAGGACTCGAGTTCATTTAAATCGACCGATAAATATCAATGATTGGAGAAAATCATCTGAACAGTTTGACTATATCGTTCACCAGACATACGGGCACATGGATAGACAGATATTTTGCTGTAAGTCGATTTTTGGTGTCAAGGACTTACAAAACGCGGACACTGACTACACAACATGTTGGAGCAGGTGTGGATCCACGGGGAAAGAAATTATGGACCCCCCCCCCTAAAATTCTTCTGTAACTTAATATCGAACTTGTCACGAAACTTATAAACAAAAATATTTACGGATAACCATTAAATCTAATAAAATTGTATCGTAGCTGAGTGTAACCTGCTACATTTTACAAAATATGTAATGACCCATTCGACCAAAACATTTTTAATTTCCCCTCCCCAAATTTACCTCTGTTTGCCCCTAGTTAGAGGAAGTAATTTACTACATACTGAAACAATATTTAAGTACTATTTCGTTGCCAGGGTCCGGCAATAAGAGTTTTCTTTCGAAAATTCGTAATTTTTCGGCGCATGATTACTTAATTTTCCTCCTCTTACGAAGTTAGCCTAAAAAGAAAAATTAAATATTAGTCTGGTTTAGATAATTTTTCCTATTGTATATTAAAAACTGATGTGTCTGTCGTTATTCAGTCGTAAACTCATATTTTCAAGGCGATTTTATGCACAGGAATATTTCCAGATATTTTCAACCCCACTTCAAAAGAGACAACAAGAATTAAATTCGAAATCATGGACTGATATCGTTGTTTTCGCAAAAATATGAGAGAGACTTTTCTATATACGATTGGAAATTTTTCCCAGGAAAAGACGAAGCTATTTCAGACTCGCAACATGGACTTACGAGCAGAAACAAAATCAGAATCAATCGTGTTATTTGCTTAATTCTGTTGCTTCAACAATGAAGCAAAATAACATATTGAATATTCCTTTAAAATATTTGGAGTCATTGACCATAATATTTCGTTTTCAAAGTTATCTTCCTACAGAAAATTACGGTATTACCTACATTGGTTATCCTCGTATCTTAAACATTAAACGCAAAGAGCAGAAATAACAAAGATCATTTACTCATCTTTCCTATTATATGCCAATTGACAATTTGGTTTCCCAGGGGTTTCATCATACATATGAAATTTTTTGTTTTATACGTAAAGGATATGCCATAGTCCATTAAAAACCAAATAGCATTTCTGTTTGTTGATGACACAATTGTTCTTTGCAACAAAGAAACAAGAAGTACGATTTCATACATTTTAAATTGGTTTCGTAATGAAGTAAATATAAACGAAGGAAAAACTGTTTCAAAGCAGTTTTGCGTTTCAAACATGTGTTTCGCATGTGCCATTGATTATTAACAATCTACAATTGATAACAAAATAATAAAAAGTAATAATATAAAATGTCTGTATATTCAATTCAGTCAAACGTCAAATGGAATATTCAGGAAAATGAATCGAACACTAAATTAAATTCATTATCTATGCATACGGAATTCTTTCTCATTCACTGTTCATACAGCTCGTTGCGTGTGTATTGCAAATTTTCGTACATTCCTGCCTGAGAAATAGCATAATATTCTGGAGAAGCTCGTCCTATAGTACCCAGAGTTTTGAATTCTATGAAACGATTGTACGAATAGAGTGCCAATACCATACACGGGATTCCTGCAACCCTTTCTTCATCGAGCTTGAGATCTTCCCATTGCCTTGCCTATTTATCTACGAGCGTGTAGTTTACTTCAAAACAAACTGCCTTTAGGGTATGTACATATTTATATGTAATACCAATATTTCTATTCCCAACGCAAGCCGAATGAATCATATTCATACGGTCATTATCAACAGCTCAAAACAGGAAATCCACTTACCAATGCACTTTAATTTACGAAACATTGCTAGATACCATTAAACAATATAATGCCTACACAAGATTCAGTGCCATGTAATTTCCTATACAATTAGTCTATATCGACCATCAAAAATAATTATTTTAACAATAATACATTATGCATAAGGTAACAATTGTTCTGTATAATTGAAAAAAAAGGCTAAATACTCCTAAAAAATGCCTGTTACAAATAATGTACTTCAGCTTCGGGGCCATTGACTCCCATCTCGATCGTTTTTTCGTTCTGATTCCGTGGTCGATTGAGCAAAAGCAGAGATGACCCCCTTGTTTTGCTTCTGGACATAAATATAACTGCACTATGCGCTCCTTTTGCCTGTTGTGGTAGAAGTAAACCAAGGTAATAATAATAATAATAATAATAAATTCCCCTGTACGTGTTTTTCTCTTGTGTTCACTACTATGTGTAACATATACTGTTCTATTATTTTTAGTCTCTAAGCCGCCTCCAGAGTGAGGTTTTTCTGGGTTTGCTCAATTGCTTAAGACGTACGTCACAATGGTCGCTTATCTTGCACTTCCAGACAAATGTACAGCTTGTCCCCCCAGTCTCCCTTTCGGATTTTCCCTCCTCATTTTCGTTTGTTTCCTTCTCTTCCACTTTGACGTGAATTGATAATGTTCGGCCGGAAGCCGTCATCCTGATTGAGATTTTCTGGGTTTACTCAATCGCTTAAGGGGAATGCCGGTGTGACGTAGTGAAATAAGAAATAAATTTCAATAACAAAAGAAAAATAATATATTCAAAGATTATGTACAAGTTACAATGAATTGCTAATATTAAAATACTCCGGCAACCTTTTCCTTTCAGAACACTGCTTTACCGCAGAAAACACAAGCCACGCGTGATGCGCGGTGTCGGACCCCCGTCCCGTGACAATTACCGTCACATGGCCTGACGCCAAAATTTAACCCGGTCGTGGCGACCGTGTGCCTACAGCACGCGAGATTGTCTGGCCCTTACTCTCCGGACATCTCGCCCACACTCCTACACCCCTTGTACACACGTACAAGCTTCCCGATGCAAACTGAATGAGAGCGCGGGCGCATATGGCGCCGCGTTAAATAGTTGAGGCTGACACCCCCACCACTGTTCCATAGATAGGCTCGCCGGCTGGCGCGAGGCTCGCAGGCCAGCCTTGGTTTACGCCCCCACACAGGATTCTTAGCGTTGGCTGCCTGCTTCCGTAAACGAGGCTCGCCGGCAGCATCCTCGGAGTTTACAGCCTCCGGTATTTTTGGCTCTGCGGCACTACCTGAGTCAACCGCCCGAACGCAAACTCCCGGATGTTCAGGCTCAACCCCTTCCTCCCCCGCAGCGTACTTTCACCGACCTAACGGTTCTGGCCCTCGTGTTAACGACGCCACACGACGATGGTTCTTAGTTTTGCACTCCCAATCGTAAATGTACAGCTTCTCCTCCCCTCTTAATATGTTACTACTCTGAATGTATGTAAATTCAGTGGTTAGGCGGAAGAGCAGCCCCTGTGGCCTGAGTTTCTCTATTAATAAAGGCATTATCATTATTATTATTATTATCATTTTTATATTATCATTATTATTATCATCATTATTATTATCTTACATTATTCACAGTATCTACTGGTCGGAATGTCAACCATACACAGGAATGATGACCAGGTGTGTGGTTGCTTTACTGAAGTTTCAGATGGCTTCTGACAATGCGGCTGTGAAGACACTCCAGTGCCCGAAGTGTCATTTTCGGGATCACTCCTGTAGCTGATATTATTATAGGCACAATTGTAACTTAACTGAAGTTCCACTGAGATGCGACTTCATGGGCGAGATCGGTATACTTCTGGATCTTCTCTTGATATTTTCCCGATATGTTGTGGGTATTGGGTATTGATATATCGATAAGGGAAAGCTGCTGATGGTTTCCATCAGTGTACGTTATATCGGGTCTATTGCTGCCGACATGTCTGTCAGTGATAATGGAGCGATCCCAGTAGAGTGTGTGCTCACTACTTTCAAGCACATTCTGAGGCACATATTTATAATGCGGCACGGAAGTGGCGAGTTATCCCGTTCTCAATGTCAATAATTGGTGAACCACTTCTGACCTGCGGCTACCGGACACAACACTCTGAGTTCTGAAAGTTAAGTAATTAGGAAACCATGTTTGCG